CGTGTAGGGCTATTTCTGGTGATAATTATGTAGTCAATTGTCAAAATTGTAAAAGTAGTAAATGTAGTTCTATGTAGAATGATTGTAAATTCTTTATATACATTAAAAACTCTCCACTATTTATTTATCAAAATATATGAACCATTTCATTAATTTATTCGCGCTTTTATTAATTGTATTGCCAAGTGCTAGTTGACGTTAATTTTCTAACATTATAAGCAATTTAGTAATGTTTTTCATCACTATATTTGTACGCTATTATATTCAATAAAATAAAATTTTACACAACGTTTTTCTCATTTATTTATTTTTCATATGTGATTGATATTTAAAATATGTAAGTTAATGCTAAAAGAATAACATGAATGATATAGTAACAATGTTATAATAATAATAATAATGTTAAAAAAATAACAATTAATTTTTTGATATTTCATGGGTTAATTGGAATATTAATCATCAGAATTATTGATTAAGAGTATAGACAAGATCTGATTAAAATGACTAATAACTCATTATCGAATTGAATATTAATATAGATGTTTACATGTTTTACAAAACATTTCGTTTACATATAGCAATAATTCTTGCATATATGTATATAATTATTTGTAGTAATGAAATAGTTACTGATCTGCATAAATTTTTTTTTACATGCAAAAGTATTACACGTTGATAGAAGTGGTATAAAATGACCGCCTAAAAAGTATAAAAATAAAGCATCTTTCGTTGTGCAGTTAAATTGATAATATAATTTTTTGTACAGAGCTATTCTGTAAGCTCGTGAAAAAGCTGTTTGTTACTCATGGACATAAGTAATTATATCTCCTTCCCTTTGAATAATTTTTTTATCCTCCGAAGATAACCCGTGGTGATCTGATGTAAGAAGGGGGGAAATCCCATTACCAGCATTTAAGAGGAGGGATGAACCCTTACACTTTAACAAGTTTTCGACAGACGACAGATGTCGTACTCTATGACTTTATTTTAATCGGCTAGGGCTTAATTATGCAAAAGTTCACACAGACTTGTAATTGCTTCCATATATGCTTACGAACAGCTCAATCAATTTTTGACAGTCCACTTTCATTAATTTGTCTTACATTTAATAATGTAAATTTATATTAATGAATAGTATTACTTAATTATCAAATGAATTTTTATTTTTTGACACTCGTAAAAATATTACTTTTTTAAATTGTTCAAATATAAATGCATTTTGTTTTGAAAGACCAAGAATTTATAAGTGTAAGTTAGAAAAAATATCACAATATTTCAGATTAAAAATTAAGATAATTATTAAATTTTTTTAAAATTAATTTTAACAGTTGTATATATTTACTACTAATCTTTTTTTTATATATAATATTTTGTATTTGCAAATCAATTATTGATTTAATCAAAATTATAAGAAGCCAAAATATTTTTTAATTATAGTAATTTATATAAATATTAGATATTTTATATAAATAAGATTATTTGTTTTATATGCGAATTTTCAAAATTATTACTGTTGTTTCAAAATGCGATTATTGATAGTAATTTTAATTTGTATATTTGATGAATTATCATTTATGCAATTAAATGATATTAAAGAATTAAATGATATTAAGAAATTAAATTCAATACCATTAAAGAAAATTACATTAGTTCTCTACTTAAATAATCAATAAAAATAAAGCATAATTTGATATATTGTAATGTATTATGTGTATAAATCGTATGCCAAGTTATATTGAAATCATAATTAGAGTTATATCAATATTGCTTATATTTTAAATATGCATGATTATTGACAAAAAGTTTATAACTTATGTAAATCAAATAAATAAAAAATATATATTTTTTTATTTCTATAATATATATAATAAAATAATAAGTATATAATAAAATATATACATTTTTTATTTCTAACACATTATGCAAATTTAAATGGAATAGTAACGAAACAAACTGATTTTATGAAACATAATATATGCGTAACATAAAAGAGAATTAGGCTAATTTGACTTACAAACTTATCAATAGCATATGAATTAATGTGTACACACTTAGTTCATCAATAAAAAAACGAAATATAGTTAAAGTGTATGTTCATGTATCTTTCTTATTAATCAATGCAAATTAAAGAAATGAAAACGTTTGTTCTAATTTTATTAAAAATGTTTTTACTTAATAGCTTGGTAGGTGTGTATTAATCTTGTCTATGAAATATTCTTTTTGGGCAAAAAACATATTCAAGCAAAAAGCTATGGCAGCACAAACTCAATGGGACAAGATGATGTAATCTCAGCCTTTTACACAATGGCTGACAACCCGAAGGGATCTCACCAACCTGACCAACACTACATGCCACATTGGCTCAACATAGGAGATATGTCACTGAGACACCAGATCCAGCACATGGTTTACGAAACATACGTGCAACATAAATTCAAGAACATCCATGGTGATGAACTGAACCACCACGGATCAAAATCGCCATAATCATGACCATGGTAACTTACATACGATAAGCAATTTCAACAAGTGCCAAAATCCGCCGTTAAAAAAAAAATATGAGCCGCCGCCTACACACCACACAACAAAGGAAGCTTTAACAGGAGCAAAGGATCCCAAGGAAAATGGCAACACCCTTGAAGACAGACTCTTGAGATCTCTCACACGGATCAAGTCTCGCACATCATAAAAAAGGGTATGAAAAGCAGGCTCATTCAAATTCAACACATATTTTTTCCAGACAATTAATGAACCTGGCAAGCTACCAATCCCTAAGGATACATTTAATCACCAAAAAAAATTGGTGATAGCGGGCGGAATGTTCGAGATTGACGCAGTTCCACGAATTTAAGACAAAGTGGGTCATACGCGCTGTACGGCGCTCGGACCGGGACACGCGCTCGGGTGAATGTTTATAAAAAAAACTCGACAAGACCGAGCAAGTTATATGATCTGAAATCTAATATACTATAAGATCACACAAAGGAAGAACGCCTACGAAACTTCTAGAAGCTTCATTTTCTAACGCCACAAAGAAGTTTTCGGTATAGCAATAAACGATGGCACTCTTGCCGGGATTGCATCCGCTGCGTGCTTATTTAAGGGCAGCTCATCATGTGGCAATGCTCATTGTAATCCTACTTCGCGCTCACTAAACTGTAATTGCGGCCTAGTGTTTTAGTATATACTGTGACGACGATACGTGATCATAAATTCGGCAGCCTAGTAAATAATATATGTGTACATTATTAAAAGGAAATCGGCAGATTTAGTAGTGAATTACAGTGAAACCAATGGAATAGTAATCAAAGGGGGCATCAATTCATACAGCAACTAACATACCTTGTCTGCAGCTCACAAGGTACATTTTTATATTAATAAACAAACTAGTCACACTTCGCACAAGAATAAATCTGGCAATTTATATTCTTTCTCAGTCGAACCAACGCTTCGACCCCATACAGGCCCATAAGAATAGATCGAGCAAACTTACGTTCATTCTCAGTCGAACCAACGCTTCGAATCCGTACGGTCTTTCTCTCGGTCGGACCAACGCTTTGACCCCGTACGATCTCTAGGTCGAACCAACGCTTCAACCCCGTACAGGCCCCCAAGGAACTCACACAAGTGACTCAATTTGTCAAGCACATTGTCAAGACCAGATAACGATATATTGAATAAGCGACTACATTTCATTAAGTCCTTTAAGAGCACGAAGGCTTATCATTAATTACTCTTGTGTGTGACCAGTTTTTCTACTGCCACATAAATAATTAAAGACATAATTGATTACTCAACAAGTTCCATTAAACATCTTACACCATATCAAGTATAGTTATTCCATATATCAAATATACTTAATTCAAACACCATCTTCTCGTGGTACCTCATGAGCATGATTGACTACACCTGCTGATATTTACAATATCAGCATTACCTCAACTTCAAGATACACAATCATATCCATAGAATTTACGATAATCAAGATTACAAGAACACACCCTCATTACTGCAATAGAATAATCTTTTCTCTCCACAACATTGCAATATTATTATAATTATTAACAAATAATAAATATTGTTTTACTAAAACACATAATATTTTTCAGCCCTTTCACTTATTATGTACTTTAAAGTTACCCTGACGTGAGACTAATCCACTAAACTATTGAATTGGTAGTTCGAGCCATAAACTAAACCTTTAAAAACGAACAATATTGAATAAATATATAACATAACAAATTTTAATGGTGAACAGTCTCTTAATATTTCAGTTTTTAATTTAATATTTATCTTTTAGTGCGCATTCATTTATTTACACATTATTATATATTAATAACTATATAATTATTGAATAAAAATTATACTTTTACATTTATTGCTTTTTTATTCATAAATTAATTAAACTTCATAAATAAATTCATGATTTAAAGTTTAGATACAGGAATGAATCTTTCTTACCATTTCCGTGATTATACGTTGTAAGCTTATTTATGTATATATTTTATATATAGGGAATGAGAAGTATTGAAGAGAATGAGTAAATAGTTATCGAGTATTTATAGTAAAAAAAATTTTATTTCGTGATTGGTATAGTTCATTTAATTAATAATCATTGCTTTTTCACTTTTTAGATGTGATATTACTTTGTGAAAGAAACTTGGTGGGTGTGTCACATAATGGAGGCAAGACCTGAACAAAAAGCGATGCCAACTGCGAGTGATCGTCAGTTATATATGGAGGACCTGCCGTCAGAGATGAGTCCCGTGGATGACAGCATAATTCTTGCCCGTGTACATGTACCGGAGCTTTGTATCAGCAAATGTTTACAGTTTCCCAAAGATCAGCTGGTTTGGGATGTCAAACAGCAGTGTCTAGCATCTTTACCAAAGGTATCTGCTCTAATTATAAGCTCATTGTATGTTTTTCCATTGCAAACGTTCGGTATTTCTTAGTTAAATATTACGGAATTAACATTATTAATATCAGTAAATATCCTATTTCAAATGATCTAGAATCTTAATTTACTGATTATTTAATGAAAGTCGCCTACTAAATTTTATAAAATGCAGTATTAAATTTGATGGTCATAATTTAGAAGTTAAATAAGATATTAGAAAAAATATTATAAATAATTTTCCTTATTTGTATTAAAATTTATGAGAAATTATAGTATAATAAAAAGCATAGAATATTGTATGTATAATACTAAAGCAATAATCAAAATATTAAAAATCATAATATTATATACATATATAAAATAGTAATAATGAGATTAATTTTGGTTTAAGACTTTAAAATACTCATTTATAAACTTTTCAATCAAAAGAACACAAAATTTTCATATATACAATTATAAATCAAATACTTCAAATGAAATATTTATTAAGTACATAACTTAATTGTAATGTGAATAATTTTTTTATAATAAATAGTTAAATATATATTGTCTAGAAAATGGCTTTCATTTTAATGCTTTAATATAAGTTTCAAGAAATTTAGGATATTGTTTGTTGATATGCTCTTAGGAATCACACTAAATATAAAATAATAAAACGGAAATATATAAATACATGTATTAAGTAGTTAGTATGTCGATTGTACTGATTCAAACCTTATTAAGTTTTTTTTTTCTAACAAGTTCATATGATCTTCATTTTTTTTTAATTTATAAAGTAAAAATAGAAATGCAGTATAATCAGATGCCGTATTAATTTTACCATTTAGATTGAATCATACAAAACTAGAAATAAATCTTTTCCTTTTTTTCTTTTGTTTTCTTTTTTTTTTTTCTTCGCCAATATGCATGGCGCATGAGGAATCATTATGTATTAAAAGTACCCATTGGAGGTACACTTAAATAAAGCTTAAGTATTCTTATTTTGTTGAATACGTTGAATTTAAATATGAAATTATATAAGATGTTCTAATAAGTATCAGTAATTATTATTTGAAGGAAGATTAATTTTCTTTGCTTTGAAATTTACGAAAATATAAATTATATTTAAAATAATATATCAATTACTTGTAATTTAAACTGAATACGCTACAAATTAATTAATTAAATAAAATCAATAGTTTTAATTTCTTTATTCAAATTAAATTATAATTATATTGTTTAAATATATTAACTAACTTTTTTCACTAGTATAATTTTTTATTCTAATATTAAAGTACTTTTTATTTTTATTCATGATAAGTAATATTATTATCACAGTTTTTCTAATAAAAGTGAAAAACAATTTTATTTATATAGAATTTATATGAAACATGTGTTGAAAACTGTAAAACTTAATCCTCCGTTATGCTTTCAAGAATTAGTTATACAAGTTACGATCACTTCTATGAAATACACAACTTTTTCCTTTTTCTTTTTTTAGCAAACAGAATTGACGACCTTAATAGATGTTAAATTTGAAAATTTTCAAAGTGTAATATCATATATATTTTAAAACATATTTTAAAGACCATGAACATATTCATTAAATATTAATTTTCCAAAATTTAAAAATTAGCAAATATAAGAATGTTTCTTAATAATTTTATGAGAAAAAAAATATATACACCCCTTGATTATTTATAATTTAGTGTTATTAGAATTATAATAAAGCATTACGAATTTATGAATTTTGTTGCAAATAGTAATACAATCAAAGCTTAATATTATATATATAATAATATATATTCGTTATATAACATTCAAATATATATTAATATAATTAATCTGTCTATTCATAAAAAATACATTTCATATTTATATTTGTAACAATTCGTTGATCTAATAACAATTAATTATATATTAAAATAAAATTTATTTATACTTCATATTGAATTATCTTATTTTATTGAAAAGATAAATAATATATAATAAAATAATGACGTAATTTGTAGTTTTCTTATAACGGAAGCATTTATACATTTTTTTCTATAAAATTATTGTTTAAAACTAATTAATGAAAATAATAAGTTATATTATCTATAATATTATTTATAATATATAATTAATAATAGCTTAATGCCTTAATATTATAAATAATTCTTACGAATCAATATTAGTGAAATTTATATTTCTTTTCCTTATGTTCTATAATTATGATTTTTATTCATATCGTGTTTTTTTTTCCAACATGCTTGCACTTCGTGGATTACAGGCGGTAAAGTAGGAATAAGTATTTGAGTAATTAATTTTCTTCAAGAGAACATGCTTATGAGTTAGAGTACGTTAATTGAATGTTGTATAATAAACATATACGAATAAACATATTTATTTAAGTTATAATATATTTAGAATATTTTTAATAATGTATTTAATATTTTTATACCATTTAATGAATTAATTGACATAAATTTTTATTTGAAAAGTCACTTGAAAAGATTGAAAATTAATTATGTACAGTATCGTAAAATTGCTCAAATGTATGATTATTAATTATTCTATCCATCTTATTAAATATAATAGTAATTTTTACAAATTTAAACATTTTTTTCAAAATTGGTATAATATATTATGTATTATACAAAATTTTTACGAAATAGTTAAATATTTATTAAATATATAAGTATATTTAAGTAAATATTACACAAATTTTTATTTACAAATTAAGTGTTTACGGATGCAATGAGTTGACTCATTTAATAAATAATTTCATCTATACCTTAAAACAGTTTAATATTTATCTATGTCTGTTCGATTTTAAAGGTTTAGTTTATGGCTCGAACTATCAATTCAATAGTTCAGTGGATTAGTCTCTCAGCAGGATAACTTAAAGGAAATAATAAGTGATAAGGCTGAAAAATATCGTGTATTTAGTAAAACAATGTTTATTATTGTAAATGATTATAACAATATTGCACTTTGATGTAGAGGGAAATAATTCTATTGAAGTATGGATTTACTGTGTCTTGAAGTTGAGGTAATGCTGATGTTGTAAATATCAGCTGATGCAGTCAGTCAATCATGCTTGTGAGGTAGCATGAGAAGATTGTGTTTGAATCAAGTACGCTCGATGTATGAATAACTATACTTGATATGATGTAAGATGTTTAATGGAATTTATTAACTAATCAATTGTATCTTTATTTATTTATGGGAATGGTAGAAGAGCTAGTCACACACAAGTATCATTTATTATAAACCTTAGAAATCTTAACGATTTCTGGAAAATGTCCTTATTATTGATCAGTCGATATACTGAAGTCTGGCTTTGACTTGTTGCGTCATTTAGTTGACTATTTAAAGAATGCACGACCACGTGCTCGTTATCTGGTGACTATTTGAAAGAATGCGCGACCACGTGCTCATCACCGAGGGACTATTTCAGGCATGCACGACCACGTGCTAACCACCTGTTGACTGCGTCAGCGGATACAAAAATTGCCCAGGTTTCTTGTGCTAGATGTGACTAGTTTGTGTATTAATATAAAAATAGGTACCTTGTAAAGTGTTGGTAAAGTCTGTTGATTGCTGTTCAATTAATGTTTCCTTTGATTACTATTCCATTGGTTTCACTGTAATCTCTGTTAAATCTGCTGATTTTTTATTCTTATACTGGCGTATATTCTTACTTATGATTCTTACTTTTGCTGCCGAATATATGACCACGTGTCGAATTCATAGAATGCTAAAAACACTGAGCGGCAGTTACACTTGAGTGAGCGCGAAGTGATGTTACAAATGAGCGTATGAGCCTTTTGAATACGCACACGAACCGAAGGCTTGATCGTTCCGTGGCGGCTCTGCCGAAAATACCGACCGTTTCATGGCGGCCCTGCTGAAGGCAGATCGAGACCCGTGTGCCATGGCTTCTACTGGTAGATGATTGAATCGGGTCACTATGGTCGGTCACTGCGGTCGGGTCACGGCAAGATGTTAGCCGCAAGCGCAGTTGAGGGCGGGTGGTATGGCAAGAGATGATTTTCAGTAAGCGGTATCTTTAGCAAGAGGTATCTTCAGCAAGAGGTCGGGGCGCGCCGCGTGCGTCCCTTATATAGCCACGCGGCGGCTCACTTAGCTGGCAACAAGGCATCGTCGTTGTTGCACTAATTCTTACACGAGGCGTCGAAGGAAAAATCTAGAACCTTCGAGAATATTCGACGAGAGAAAAGTAGGAGTAATAAATATCCTTGGGTGATCTTACAGTATATTATATTTCGGGTCGTATACTTGCTCGGACTTGCCGAGTTTTGTTTGTAAACATTCGCTCGAGTACCCGTTCTGGTCTGTGGACCAGTCTAGGCGCACATACGGTACGCCGGACAGCGCGTATGACCTTTCTTTTGTTTGAAATTCATGGGACTGCATCAATCCCGAACAATGTCTATCATGTTATATTTCCTATTGATAATTTCATTTAAATCAGATATGTTTATTTTAATTTTTGCAGATATATTAATTTATGTATTAAATTACTACACCGCACAGATATATTTTAACTGTAATACATTCATATTATTAAATTTTCATGCTAATGTATGTACATATTTAAAAAGTAAAGAATAATCATCTACGTATATAATAATAACATATTTGAGAAAAAATTAACACAATAAAATAATATTATTTTAATAAATAAAATACAAATTGATTAAAAAAGATGACACCGCAATACATATACAAACATTTGAAATTACATTTAATCAAGTTACAGTCGTTAATAATAAAAAATATTATTGAAGTAATGTTTATGAAGCGAAGGTATTAAATGAAAAAGAAATCAAACGTGATTATTCTATTTTTATATGTTCAGAGTTTCAAATTGTTTTCTTTTATTAAATTGGCGATTACAGAAGTATAAGCCTTCTAACTCTTGTGTTTGTAAACATTGATTTCGCGAAATCTCGAATATTCTATGCCTTATTTTCTAATGTCCTACAATATTTCCGCATAGCAATT